TAACAAACTCTGTGGTGTTCTTTCAGAGAGTGCAGAGAAGTGCTTTTCATTATCAAGTTGTAACATGTTTTGGTAAACATAATGACCCTGACGTGATTTGAACACGCAACCTTCTGATCTGGAGTCAGACGCGCTACCGTTGCGCCACAAAGTCCCAAACCACATGTCAAAAGACAGGGTGATTACACTCCAAGTCAAAAGGCTGGATTGCCCTAGTCTATGGCACAATTGAATATCCAGCAATGCCTTGGCTGACATTACCAGAGCACGACAGTGTGTTGTTGTGGCCGAGTGGTTAAGGCCAACTGCCAGGCGGTGCCTTATCTTTCATGGACCAAGGTGCATAGCAGGCCAGTAAAATAACTTCTTTTGGGGCAGGGGGACTGGTTTATACGTCGTTTGTTGGGAGTGAGCTCTCTATGGGGAGAGGTCTGATAAAGGCGAGGTCTCTGGCCCATGGGAGTCAGAGCAAATTTCCCAGCCTTGGACAAGAGTGTCAGAAGTGGGATTCGATGAATAGAGATGAGAGGGAAGAGAGTCAGAAGGTTTTGTGATGGATGAGATGAGTGAGAAAAGTGTTTTGGAGTTACCTTAATTTTTGCAGTCAAAATGCAGGATTGCCATATTATATGGTAAAGTTGATTGTCCAGCAATGTCTTGACTGAAATGTTACCAGTTACCCTGTTTAACTACTTTGATTACAGTTTTGTCAGCTTTGGATGCATAAACTGTTGCAGACAGAGCCTGGATAGCTCGGCCGGCAGAGCATCAGACTTTTAATCTGAGGGTACAGGGTTCAAGTCCCTGTTCTGGCGATCACCCAAACTCTTGTTAGCTGTGTGAGGTCATAAACCTGTCCAGGCTTTTCTGATGAATTCTGAGTGGCTTGGCTGAATTGCAGGTTTCTTGTGCGATGGTGGTATTGTGGTTAGCATAGCTGCCTTCCGAGTAGTTGACCCGGGTTCGATTCCTGGCCATCGCATTTAACAAACTCTGTTGTGTTCTTTCAGAGAGTGCAGAGAAGTGCTCTTCGTTATCAAGTTGTAACATATTTTGGTAAACATAGTAAGTAAGTAATCTTTATTTATATACCGCCTTTCACAAACCAGTGTCACAAAGCGGTTTACAATTGTTATTATTTTTGGGCACTTGTCCTCTCAGTCCACACATAGATGGGAGTGGGGTCGCCGAACAGGAGGCACATGCCAGACCTATTGTGCATGTTTTTAGTGGTAGGGGAAACCGGAGTACCCGGAGGAAACCCATGCAGACACGGGGAGAACATGCAAACTCCACTCAGAAAGGCCGTGGTCCAGCCAGGATTCGAACCCAGGAACTTATTGCTGAGAGGCGAGAGTGCTATCCACTCAGCCACCGTGCCGCCCCCAAACTTTTTTTTTTTTTTTTTTTTTTTTTTTTTTATTTATTAAAGGGACAGTGCATATTAAAATACATTATGCATGTAAATAAGCCAGAATTAGCCAAAAGGCTATTTTTCATCTGTAGTCCCTGGACAGTTGTTAAGTGTCCTTCTGAAGGAAATAAAATTAAACATATCACAAACAGATAAAACATGACACAGTAAAATATATACAAGCAATACCCTCAATAACACAAATCAGACATATAGACATGAACACACAACTGTTACACACTCAACAAAAAATGAAGACAAGTGAGACTCACAAAGAACAAGAGGCCAATCGGGGGCAGAGGTGAGGAGTCAGTGCTGACAGCTTTGATTATGAATGAGCCATTTTTTTACCTGTATTTTGAATGTTTCATATATATTGGTGTTCCTAATTGTTGTGGGGGTGAGATTCCATTCATGGGCGGCTTTGACAGAATATGTTGATTGACCAAAGAGGCTTTTTCTCAGAGGGATGATGCAGTCGCCCCTTGCTGCTGCTCTGGTTCTCCTGAGTTCTGTTGTACTGATGTGAGTGAACTGTGTGAGTGGGGGTGATGACAAACCATGTATTATTTTATAGGTGAGGCAGAGATGTGAGTATTTGACCATGTTTTCCCAACTGAGTAAATGATGCTTTTGTAATATTGGACAGTGATGATGTGAGAGTGGTTTGCGGTCCAGAGTTTTTATGGTGCGTTTGTAGAGGGACAGGATGGGTTTGAGAGTTGTGACATTGGCATGTGACCAGACAGTTAAACAGTATGTTAGATGTGAAATGATCATTGCGTGCATGTACATTTTTGCTGCTTGTATTGACATTTGGGGCCGGATGTGTCTGAAGTTACTGAGGGTGAACTTAATGCGATTACTGACCATTTTAACATGAGGTTTGAATGAGAGAGTTGAGTCCAGGATTATGCCAAGATATTTGTACTGGGATACGGTCTGCAGCCTTATACCTGAAACATGAACATCAGGCACATCTGTAATAGGTTTTTTGGAGAAAAGCATTGATACAGTTGTTGAAGTCTTTAACTGTAGGCAGCAGTGCTCCAGCCATGCTGTGATGTGAACCATGGCCTGGGTGAGCTTTTCAGCCACTTGGGAAACACTGCTGCCATGAACATACAGCACAGTATCATCTGCATACATCTGCACAGAAACATTCGGGCAGGCGCACGGGGGGAGGTCATTAATATACAGGGAGAATAATAGAGGCCCCAGGATTGACCCTTGAGGCACACCAGTTGATACAGGGAGTGCAGGGGATTGGCAGTTTTGCACTGTGACATGCTGAGAACGATTATTCAAATATGACCGAATCCATTTTACAGTGTTATTGGAGAAGTTAAAGTTGTGTAGTTTAGTCAGAAGAATGTTGTGATTTACTGTGTCAAATGCCTTTCGTAGGTCAAGAAAGACTGCACTAACAACCCCTCCCTTGTCTAACAACCCTCGGATGTTCTCAACAAAGAAGCAGGTGGCAGTTTCTGTCGAGTAACCAGCTCTAAATCCAAATTGCATTGGGTGTAAGGCAAAGGAGGTGGTGTTGAGGTGTTTGATTATTTGATTTCAGACCAACTTTTCAGCAACTTTGGATATTATGGGAAGTATACTTATAAGTCTGTAATTAGCCAGGGACTGAGGGTCACCACTTTTGAATATTGGGACAACAACAGCAGATTTCCACAAGCTTGGAAACATTCCCTGCGACAAAGAAAGATTGATTATCTTGGTAATGGGTTGTGGGCGGCACGGTGGCTGAGTGGATAGCACCCTCGCCTTTCAGCAAGAAGGTCCTGGGTTCGAATCTCGGTTGGACCAGGGCCTTTCTGAGTGGAGCTTGCATGTTCTCCCCGTGCCTGAGTAGGTATCCTCCAGGTACTCCGGTTTCCCCTACCACTAAAAATATGTACAATAGGTCTGGCATGCGCCTCCTGTTCGGCGACCCCACTCCCATCTCTGTGTGGAGTGAAAGACAAGTGCCCAAAAAATAACAATTGTAAACTGCTTTGTGACTCTGGTCTGTGAAAGAGGGTATATAAATAAAAGCTTACTTACTTGTGTGAGTGATGTGCGTAGATCTTTAAGCATCACAGTGTCCATACCAAAAGTATCTATCGTTCTAGATAGCCGCAGAGAATTAATACACGGTACAATATCACTGTCCGATACACTCGTTAAACTTAGAACAGGTGCATATTCAACCACAGAGTTCCTGATGGTATTTGAAGTTTCTGGAGCAAAACAACTTGCAATAGTAGCCACAGAATCTATAAAATAATGGTTAAATGCCTGGGCTACGTCTCCAGGATTATTTAATAGATTTTCCCCCATCTTGATTTGTAAAGCTTTATGCACTCTGGGATGGTCACCAGTAAGCTTTTTAATCTGATCCCATATCATTTTGCAATTACCATTTGCTCTCGCTATTATTGACAGAAAGAAGTCAGCCTTAGCTTTCCTTAAGGATCTAACCACTTTGTTTCTTAGCATAGTAAAACAACCCCTATCATGTGAAGATTTGGTTTCATTAGCTATTTTTAGGATTTCATCTCTTTTCTTCATAAGTTTTAAAATGTCAGAGTTTATCCATGGAACTTTATTTTTGCGTTGTTTATAGCAGATTTTCTGAGAGAACTCCCTTATGGTTTTGTCTAATGTTTTGTATTTCACAACCGTTGTCACAGTCCACTGCATTTAATAGGTCATCCCACTGTATTTCTTGCACTGCAGCTACAACGTTTTGGTAATTGTTTTTAGGAATTCGAGTGGACCCGTCTTGAATATTCGTACAAAAGCGTTTTCTTCCTAATTTTTGATTCAGTAGAACTAAGTTGTGGTCAGATAAACCTGTAAGCATATTAAACGACTTTACAATTCTATCTGGCTTATTGCAGAAAATCAGATCTATTTGTGTCCTTGTGGAGTTATTTATTCTCGTAGGCCCATTGATGATTTGCTTCAGATCAAATTTGTCTGTGATTTGCTTGAGTTTCCTTCTGGTTGGTTTATCTTCCCAATTGATGTTGAAGTCCCCCATAATAATGATTTCTTTTTCCAAATTACATTCTTTCAACAAGCACTCAAATTGGTCATAAAAGCTTACGTTGGGTGATGGTGGTCTATAGATTACAATAATTCCAAAGGACATTTGTGGGGATAGAGAGATATTCAGTCCTAAGCATTCCAACTGAGTACCATTTGACCATTGTATTTCTTGGCATTTAAATATGCTTTTCACATAGACCATGACCCCCCCTCCCTTTTTGTGTCCTTCTCTGTCTTTCCTATAAAAGTTGTACCCAGGGATATTCAGTGCTCCAGTAGGAGAATTTTGATTCAGCCAGGTTTCCGACAGACATAAAAAGTCCAAATTCGAATCCAATAATAAATGTTGTATTTGCTCACTCTTTGACAAAATACTTCTTATGTTTATATGACCACCTAAAATGCCAGTTGGCTTCGCCTTCGGGTCCCAGATGATGCGCGAATGATTGACAGTCTGAAATACCTCCCACTTCCGGTTTTTTGCGACACCTGGATTGAGTCGTTTCCTGTTTATATTTTTCGCTACCACGGGGCTCGGATGAGGACGTGCACCAGGTTCAGGGATGGGAACAGAACGCCTAGGCCCGTCCAGATCAGCACGAAGGCTCTGCCCCACGTCCGCAGAAGATCCGCGCAGAGGCCCTCCCAAATAACCATCCGTGGCGGTCGGCCGGTGGCTCGGCAGCTCCCCGGAGCCATGTCTCGCCTCCACAAACGCAGACGCAACCTCGCCGCTCCAGAACATCCGACACAACACCAACACGACTCCCCCGCACCCCATCCGCGACGGCACCAAGCAAGGACGACGGACAGGAGAGGTCAGCTTGCACGTCACTACATTGTATAGCATCATGTAAAGAGCTTACCTCTAGGAAAGTTGTAACGCGCTCCTCCGAGGGTGGCCTGCCGGTGGCCTCCACTTGGGTGTCTCGCGGGCTGGGTCCGGGGCACGGATGAATATCTCCAGATAGTATTAGACATATCGTGACAATCAAGGTGTTAGCCCACTTTCGGGTTGCCATCTTCGTATTCCTGTTGCTTTGCTTGTGTAGGGATGGATACATGAGTGCCACTGCCAGGAGATGTTTCCCAAAGCCAATGTTTGGCCTTGCGCAACTGTTTGTTTGTGTGTCCATATTTTTACAACCCATTTTCTGGTAGAAATGTAGTTGCTGATATCTGATGCCATGATATTCAAAGTTCAAATCCACCGATTGTGGACAGAAGTTAGAAAATAAGGTGAATAGGAGGAGAGCAGTGACTACACCTGTCAAACCTGCGGCCATCTTGGTTTGTAGCAGTAATTCATTTAGAGTTCCAGACTCCAGACTTCAACCACAAAAACATAATGACCCTGACGTGATTTGAACACGCAACCTTCTGATCTGGAGTCAGACGCGCTACCGTTGCGCCACAAAGTCCCCAACCACATGTCAAAAGACAGGGTGATTACACTCCAAGTCAAAAGGCTGGATTGCCCTAGTCTATGGCACAATTGAATATCCAGCAATGCCTTGGCTGACATTACCAGAGCACGACAGTGTGTTGTTGTGGCCGAGTGGTTAAGGCCAACTGCCAGGCGGTGCCTTATCTTTCATGGACCAAGGTGCATAGCAGGCCAGTAAAATAACTTATTTTGGGGCCCGGGGACTGGTTGATACGTCGTTTGTTGGGAGTGAGCTCTCTATGGGGGAGGTCTGATAAAGGCGAGGTCTCGGGCCCATGGGAGTCAGAGCAAATTTCCCAGCCATGGACAGGACAAGAGTGTCAGAAGTGGGATTCGATGCATAGAGATGAGAGGGAAGAGAGTCAGAAGGTTTTGTGATGGATGAGATGAGTGAGAAAAGTGTTTTGGAGTTACCTTAATTTGAGCTGATTAAACCGGAGTAGTATGTGGATTTAGCAGTGGAGATGGAGTCTTTGTAATGGAGGGTATGTGTTTTGTACATTTCATGGTGAATAGTGAGTCCAGTTTTCCTGTAGAGTCTTTCAAGTTGGCGGCCTTTGGTTTTGAGTTGTCTGAGGGTGGGAGTGAACCAGGGGGCTGTGTGAATGAAGGAGACAGAGCGGGTTTTGAGTGGGGCCAGAGTGTTGAGAATGTTATGGAGGTTGTGCCACAGAGTCCCTACTTTGATTGCGATTTTTGCAGTCAAAATGCTGGATTGCCATATTATATGGTAACGTTGATTGTCCAGCAATGTCTTGACTGAAATGTTACCAGTTACCCTGTTTAACTACTTTGATTACAGTTTTGTCAGCTTTGGATGCATAAACCCTTGCAGACAGAGCCTGGATAGCTCAGCCGGCAGAGCATCAGACTTTTAATCTGAGGGTCCAGGGTTCAAGTCCCTGTTCGGGCGATCACCCAAACTCTTGTTAGCTGTGTGAGGTCATAAACCTGTCCAGGCTTTTCTGATGAATTCTGAGTGGCTTGGCTGAATTGCAGGTTTCTTGTGCGATGGTGGTATAGATTCCCGGCCATCACATTTAACAAACTCTGTGGTGTTCTTTCAGAGAGTGCAGAGAAGTGCTTTTCATTATCAAGTTGTAACATGTTTTGGTAAACATAATGACCCTGACGTGATTTGAACACGCAACCTTCTGATCTGGAGTCAGACGCGCTACCGTTGCGCCACAAAGTCCCCAACCACATGTCAAAAGACAGGGTGATTACACTCCAAGTCAAAAGGCTGGATTGCCCTAGTCTATGGCACAATTGAATATCCAGCAATGCCTTGGCTGACATTACCAGAGCATGACAGTGTGTTGTTGTGGCCGAGTGGTTAAGGCCAACTGCCAGGCGGTGCCTTATCTTTCATGGACCAAGGTGCATAACAGGCCAGTAAAATAACTTATTTTGGGGCAGGGGGACTGGTTGATACGTCGTTTGTTGGGAGTGAGCTCTCTATGGGGGGAGGTCTGATAAAGGCGAGGTCTCGGGCCCATGGGAGTCAGAGCAAATTTCCCAGCCATGGACAAGAGTGTCAGAAGTGGGATTCGATGAATAGAGATGCGAGGGAAGAGAGTCAGAAGGTTTTGTGATGGATGAGATGTGTGAGAAAATTGTTTTGGAGTTACCTTAATTTGAGCTGATTAAACCGGAGTAGTATGTGGATTTAGCAGCGGAGATGGAGTCTTTGTAATGGAGGGTATGTGTTTTGTACATTTCATGGTGAATAGTGAGTCCAGTTTTCCTGTAGAGTTCCCTTGCCTGCCTCAAAGCAGCCACGACTTTTCCTCTACAGGCTTGAAGCCCCCATCCTCACCCCAGCCTCAGAGACAGGCTGTGCTGGGTATCCTCCACCACCTGCCCTCCATCAAAGATCCGACGCACCTCCATGGACCTGTCTCTGGGTCCCCCTCCCGACACTCCCTCAAGAGAGAAAGGGGACACCTCCCTTTGTTTCATCCCCCGCTTCACAGTTAATCCCTCCATAAATCATCTGTTTCATCCCCCACTTCTAATATGTCCACATATCACCCCAACTTCTTCTCACTCTATAATACCAAACTCCCCACAAAGTACTCACCCCCACGTTTAATCACAACAAACCCACACCCCTACTCCTACCACACCCCACAATCCCCTCCCCCCCATCCCTAACCCAAACTACACACCCAACCCCAATTTTCACCCCTGCCCACCCCACCACCCACACACATTCCCCATAACCCCCCCCCCCCCCCCCCCCCCTCTCCCCCCCCCCCCCCCCCCCCCCCCCCCACCCCCTCCCCCCCCCCCCCCCCCCCCCCCCCCCCCCCCCCCCCCCCCCCCCCCCCCCCCCCCCCCCCCCCCCCCCCCCCCCCCCCACCCCCCCCCCCCCCCCCCCCCCCCCCCCCCCCCCCCCCCCCCCCCCCCCCCCCCCCCCCAACCCCCCCCCCCCCAACCCCCCCCCCCCCCCCCCCCCCCCCCCCCCCCCCCCCCAAAAGCCACCCCACTCTCCATCTCCTACCCCTCTTCCCTTCCCCTCTTTTTCTAAACCCTTGGATGACAGGGTCTCTGCTTCGCAGCCACATGGCAGTTAGTTGAGGAGAGGACCCGGCTTGGGGCCCTGTCAGAAGCCACTGATGCATTCCCTTTAGTGTAACAAAAGAATAATTACAGAAAGACATCTGGAGTTGATCAGTTAATCTGGAAAATCTATTCTTGTTCGTTGTAAGAATCAGCCGGACCACAACGTCTGGATACTGAAATTTGATAACTTGTACGCTTAAATCTCAGATCCTTCTTTGTAAACAAGTCTTTTTTCATTCATTTAATTTAATTGTTTCTCATAATCTTGTATTATTTTCATGGCTGGAAACTGGCCTTGCCACAAAATTCAGGAAATGAGTTTTAATGAATAGCATCACCACCAAATTTCAAATTTGAATCTGAAATACGGGAAGGAAAACAAAAAAGTGAGGAGGCTTAGCTGCCATTTTCAGAAGGACGACTTTGTCTCCCATTGAATAGTCTCTTGGGAAGTTTTCGGTCATTTTGAATATGTGTCCTTTTAAAAATACAACAAAAAACAATCTCCTCCAATACTCTTCATCGTCCTATACAAGCCACCGCAGTCCATGTCACAGGTTGTATTGATATATTTTTACGCTAGGGGGGGGTGATTTTAAATATTACATGTTTGGACTAATGTTGTATCGACCGTGCGTTTGGATTTTTAGTGCGGCCTTCGCCCTTTGACCAAACTCAATCCCTCCTCTCATATTAAGCTTGTTTCGTTAAATGTTGCCGTCGCTTACCTAACAAAGGTGCTGCTTCACTCACATATTCTGGATGAACAGGATTGACCTCATGGTGGTTTACTGAGACCTGGCACTGACCTGAACATTACTGGTGTGAAATGAGGGCATGTCCTGCTGGTCTATAACGTACCTGGGACAGGCGCGCACCACTGGTAGGGGAGGGGGCCTGGGCTGGTGATCCATTGAGGGCGACACTCCAGTGGCCCCACACCCAAGTACCAATATACATCACCTTCTTGGTGTGCCTGGCAGTCAAAGATGTGGCACCATGCGCCCCGTCCGCCTGGGCATCTGTTATTTTCATTTAAAACCGTGCCACCGACATTCCAAGCCCCACTTTCGCCCTGGTGGTTTCAATGACCTGGTTATTTGCTATTGTTTCCTTTTTTATGCTAAAACAGCCAAATGTCCTCATTATGTGGTGAGGTCCATATGCATGTTGTTGCCCACCACCTCGGGCCACCACTGGTGGGCGGCTTCCACCACGTTCTTAGTGATTGCCTATGCCCTCTGACAGCCAGCACGTTGATGAGTCCCACACAGCCAAAAGGGTCACACGGCTGGGACCAGGTGATCCCAGACCACCTCCAATCGTAAAGAGCCCCCAGTGTATGGACATGGGTATGTTTTCAGATTACTGTGCAGTTTTTCTTTTCGTGGAATTAACCTATATGGCCGCCTCATGCAAAAAACAAACGTCTAAATCTCCGTCAGGAGTTTATTAATAAAATTAGCTTGTCGACTGAGCTTAAAATCACTTGTGCTGCTACTTCCCGCTGCTGAAGAGGGCCTGGACTAGTACGAACCCAAATCTGCACAGTTTTTCGGGATTAGTGCACGCCCCAGTCAAACTAAGGATCTGGTCCACGTACCTCCCGCTCGGGCGGCCGTGGTTTACACCGGGAACTGAGATAAGGGAAAAGCAAACTGGACGGCTGGCGTTGGAAAGGCGCGGTATGTTGAAATCAGGTCTTACTGGGCACAGGCTAGGGAGCAGAGGGACTGGACCCTACTTCTACCTGGTTTAGCCTGGGCATCTTTCTGTGAAAGCCGGCACCTGGCCACATGCCTCCACAGCGACTTTCGCTTAAGCAATGCCCCACAGTCTATACAGTGCAAAAACCTCACTGGATTTAACTGGGGAATTTGGCTGTTTAGCTGGGACTAAAGTTCCAATGCCGGCCTTTAAAACCTCAACATTGTGCTCACGGTTTCCACTATTCCTGATCAAATCAAAGTGAAGTTTACGTGCTTTAGATTTCACAGGTAGAGCCAATGCTCTGGCTACGTCACTTTCATTTCCATGTTTTCTAGTCAAATGACGGGACATTTTGTGGCAGGACATTGAACAGTAGAGGCAGAAGTGTCTCTTGCTGTAAACTCGCCCCCCATTTTTCTTCTTTTGCAGCTGCATGATAACAATCTTATTTGCCTTTGGTTCGTCACTTTCCGAGTCTTGAAGAAAAGTGTTTTTGATTTTTCTTTTTCCATACTTTTTTACAGGTTTCTTCTTGACAGTTAAATCGTCAGAATCTGAGTCGACTTCATCAATTAGGGACTCTTGACTAAGCTGCACAAACAACAAATAATTTGTAATCATTCTATATAACAATTTGAAGTCATGACTTGTAGTCAGCACTTACCAGTGGTTTGTAAGCGTGCGCTTCAGTGTGCTGCTCTGTGATTGGCTGCAGCCTAATGAACCACACACTTGCACCTTTTCTAGCCTGACACCTGATTTCCTCTGTTGTGCTGCTCCATGATTGGCTCCTGCCTCTGTTGTGCTGCTCCATGATTGGCTCCAGCCTCTGTTGTGCTGCTCCATGATTGGCTCCAGCCTCTGTTGTGCTGCTCCATGATTGGCTCCAGCCTGCTGGACTGAAATTGCCCCAGTGTGCCCCTCCTTGATATTCCGCAACCCACCACCAGGGTTCCGACACATAACACACTTTTTTCAGGAAAGTAAACCTCCAGGGGTCCTTTCCATATTTTTACAGAGACTGCATAAGGACCGTTAGAAAAGCATTACCCATTGATTATTAAGCTTGGACCAGTGGGGTCCGGTGTTCGGGCCCCACCACGTAAAACCAGTCCCCATGACGTGAGTGGAATCTCAGGTTATGGAACCCACCAGGAGTTGAAAACAAGTGCACACACACACACACACAGACACACACACACACACACACACACACACCAAAATATATACTGTACACACAAATTGGTACAAAACAAGAGGAAACAAAAGGATTTTCTAATTTCATTGGATTATAAAATGAAACTATATAAAACAATGTTGAAGACTGAGGCTGTAGACCCAGGACTGAGGCTGTAGATCCAGGACTGAGGCTGTAGTCCCAGGACTGAGGCTGTAGATCCAGGACTGAGGCTGTAGATCCAGGACTGAGGCTGTAGTCCCAGGACTGAGGCTGTAGATCCAGGACTGAGGCTGTAGTCCCAGGACTGAGGCTGTAGACCCAGGACTGAGGCTGTAGATCCAGGACTGAGGCTGTAGTCCCAGGACTGAGGCTGTAGATCCAGGACTGAGGCTGTAGATCCTGGACTGAGGCTGTAGACCCAGGACTGAGGCTGTAGACCCAGGACTGAGGCTGTAGACCCAGGACTGAGACTGTAGTCCCAGGACTGAGGCTGTAGTCCCAGGACTGAGGCTGTAGATCCAGGACTGAGGCTGTAGATCCAGGACTGAGGCTGTAGATCCAGGACTGAGGCTGTGGACCCAGGACTGAGGCAGTAGACCCAGGACTGAGGCTGTAGACCCAGGACTGAGGCTGTAGACCCAGGACTGAGGCTGTAGACCCAGGACTGAGACTGTAGACCCAGGACTGAGGCTGTAGACCCAGGACTGAGACTGCAGATCTAAGACTGAGGCTGAAGCCCCAGGACTGAGGCTGTTGATCCAGGACTGAGGCTGTAGACCCAGGACTGAGACTGCAGATCTAAGACTGAGGCTGAAGCCCCAGGACTGAGGCTGTAGACCAGGACTGAGGCTAAAGCCCCAGGACCCATATATTCACAAACTAAAGCTTGACTATAATAAATATTTCTCATAATCTCGTTCAACAGCCAAAACACACTGAAGTCTTTGTTTGCCACTTTACAGCCCCAACGGGACACAGAAGGACAATAAAGTTATTTACTTTGAACGGTCATAAATGAAAAGTTTTAGGTGATTTTGCTGTATTAAAACCTCCTGTTAGAGCCATGACTGTGAGTAAAGCAGCTCTTTCAGACAATGGGGAGAAGTGAAGGCGTCGGAGTCGGACAGGAGTGTATTGTGCGGGGATGGCTCTCTGTGCGCTTGTAAAACACTCTGAGCAGCAGGGCCAGGACGCTGTGTTGTTTTCTCACAGATAGAATTAGATCGTCATAAAGAACTTGAAAAAACCAATGGTATTTTCAAAGACATAATCAACAGTTCAGGATTTCATTGGGTCGTGAGTATTGTTTATTTGTATTTAACTATTTATTTATTTATTTATTCGGCCCAATTGTTTCATATTCTTATTTTCTAAGGAATCATCCATGATCATCAGCTGTTGTTTTCTGTCATACCGTGTGCATACATTTGACCAGCAGGTGTCACTGTTTCCTCCAGGGTTTGGTCACTGTGCTCTCAGGGCAACAGGAAATGGCCTTACTCCGTCGGGGTCAGCTCAGTCCAGAGTGATGTACAGTATTCACCCTGGTTTCCTCTCCGCCTCTGGACTCATGTGACTTCATGGGAACCAGATTATCGCTGCGATATCTTTGTCAAACCCACAGACAGATAGATGCACAGTGCTAATCCGCTAGCTCAATGTAGCTCAATAGGGAAGCATTAGGGAATTTCTCCACAGTGAAACTACTAAAATCACACTTAAAGAAGCCATATGTAAGATTTTCAAGACAAGTCATCATTATTGCCCCAAATCTATCGAAAGGCATTAATAAAATATGCTCTATTTAAATACTTATTTAATTGAAAACAGTAGTTCAGAGATATTTGAATTTCAAAATTAGATCATCAGCCCCTAAATCTTGTTATTACCAGTCAGAAAGTCCGTGATCCGGGCGCCAGAACTCACCTGGAGCTAATCTCACTGGTAAAGTACCATGTGGAGCTAATCTCACTGGTAAAGTACCATGTGGCGCAGAACTAAAAAAGGTCTCGTTATGATTCTCAAATCATTAACGACAAAACAAGGAATAAAACCAGGATTTCTATCTTTGTGAAAAAGGTGTTGGTTATAGATTTGTTGTTGACAAAACTCTTGTCTATTCAGCTGTTATGGTCCCAGCTGGATTCGTCTGCATATCTGGCAACCTGAGTCAGGGAGAGTGGGAGAGGCTGCAGTACCACTTTTGGCCACATGTTTACACACTGCTCCTTTAATAATTCTCATCAAACTAAGCTTAATGGATGTGATACAGTCTTGTTTCTGCCTGTTCCACCTTCGAGTTCTCTCTGCGTCTTTTCACCAACAATCAGACTTAAGCCTAGCGTACATCGGACTGGCAACTGATTATATCCGTCGCCTCTGAGTTGCTGCCCCGCACACATCGACAATCTGACGAAAACGGGCAACTCCCAGTATCAGACCAGTCTGGGGAATAACAGCGCGTACATCGACAGCAACTGGCCTCAACTACAGTCTGTTTTCTGACATAAACTGTAGAGGGCGCTATACACACAATACACACATGTTGTCAGAGCGGCGCATGGAGCGCGCACATCGGGGCAACTGAGGACAACTAGTTGCTGAAAAGTAGAACACGGGCAACTGACTGAAACTGGAGATCGACTGTTTATCTCCAGTTGTAAGAGCGCGCACATCGACCGATTTCAGCAACTGATCATCTCCCACCATCTCCTCTCGGTCGCCAAAAGCCGCCTTGCAACTGTTGTCTCCAGTTACTCTGTCGATGTACGCTAGGCTTTATACCTCACATTGTTTACCTTCTGCGTTCAGGCCTTTTATACGATGAGGTCTGTTTTTGATTTCCTTGTCAGAATGTCCCGAGACAAAGTGATGGAGCAGAAGGAAATACTTGCGGCAACAGGAGGGATGTTTCAAACCAAAAACCCTGGTGATAAACACGGCCGACAAACAAATGACCAAAGTGCCACAGAGCTTTCGGGACAGATACGTTCAGGAAACAGGTCCAGAACTGCCACAAAAAGGCACTTTGTAAATGTTTGTATATATTAGAGGAAGAGAGGAAACAGCTTTTATCATGATTTCATTCAGCCGTATTGATTCTCTCAGATGTGATTTCATCTTTGCTCTACGCACTTAAAGCCCATAACCTTCTCCTTTCACTAAATCATAAAATACGTTTACAAAGCACCAGTGAGAACCAGAAACGTCCATTCCATTCAAAGGGGACTAAAGAAACACACACACAAAACGCACAAAAAATGCTTGAATATCTAATCACAAAAGCAGCGTTTTTCACATTTAAATGATTCACAAAATATACCTCTTCCTGTGGGCTTGCCTTTCCACAGATCTGACTAATACATTGTTCTGGTGTCTCCCGTCCATACTGGACTTATGCAAACACAAAACGCATGTCCTTCAAGTATTAAAATCCTGTCCCTAAAATAAATCTTAAACTGTCCCTTAAGTATATATTAAAGTCCTGTCCTTAATGTAACCCTCTGAGTCCATGTGGGAATGTTGTTCTTGGGAAGATGAAAACATTTGTAATTGAACATAATGAAAAGCAAGAATCCAAATGGCTTTCACAGAACAGATGTAAAACGAGTGTCTACCACTTTAAAACTTCGGGATTTTTTCAGGACGAGGTTCAAGGAAGAGGTAAGAATAATATTTCAAACGTTATGCACATGAAACTTTAAACCGTAAACAAGATGCAAAATAAAAACCAGATACAAAAAAAACAGAAGTAAACATTTTTAAAAAGCCTGGACGAAGCTGATCAGAATATTGGCTCCATCTCCTTTCACTCTTTCAGCACAACACACACAACACACAAGCACAACACAACCACCAACACAACACACACACAACAAGACAAAGGTCCAAACACTGCAAACAATGATGAAAAATATGAAAACATTGGTAAAATGTATCTTGAATTTGAGCACTTTCTGACTGGGCCTTAAAACAAGATTTGCCAATGGGACACAGCAAAATGATCTTGTTTTAAAGAGATAAAAGAAATGTCTGCCTTTGAATGAGAAAATAAAGCACACAATGTTCAAAAGTTAGGATAAAAAACGCTCTTTTCATGGCTCATTATGACATCATGTTTTATCATTTTTTGCAGTGTACCGTCCCTCGCTGCTCTGTCCGCAGGCCGCAGGTTGAAAAGCTTGTATCTGTGTTGTTGAGTGAGTGTCTTGTCTCTGATAGAAGTGTTGAATGACTCCTTGAATGCCGTCTGCCCTCGGAAACTCCTTTTGGCTCAAAGAAACTGCGATGATTGTGAATATTATCTGTAATTACACGGACTGTCCTCTCTGTGCTCAGGGATCCATCCAGCAGCTGCTCCTCAAGTCTGATCCCACGGCTCCGGACGACCAGTGCGAAGAGGACGACCCCTATGTGAGCTTTTTTTTTTAAGCTGGGGTACCTGACTTTCAAACAGATAAAATGGAGAAATGTCTTAAAAATCTATAGTTCCTTGCTTTAAAATAGTTAGGTTTGATCGCTAGATTTCACATGCATATATTTTTGGTTTGTCACATTTCTTTATCAACTATTTCAGACAAAAATGTGAAAACCAGAGGACAGTGTCAGTATTAGCCTGGCCTTAGTCATCCGTAAACTCCGGTCTATGGGCTATATGCACCGGGGGGCGTGACGTCATTTCCTGTTAACACAGATCAGCCCGTTCACTTCCTGTCTATTCTATCCTATGGCATTTAGGAGGGTTTTAGTGACGTTTTTTAGTAATTAGATCTATACATTCAGCTGAGACTGACCCAAAAGTGTTGCTGTGCTTTCTCTCTGAGGTAGAGCTTCGACTGAGGCCACTCAGTCTAAGATTTTTAAACTTTATAAAAACACAATGACAGCACAATCAAAGAGCACTGTTGTGTCCCAAAAATGCCCAGTATCTTCACAGTTCAATTCCCGTTTGAGCATTATTTGGGAAACTCGTGTAAACCACTGCTGACCTCCAGTGAAACTCAAGCCGTTTCCCGCGAACAGGAAGTGAGGTGGGGCTTTAGCTAAAACCCGGAAGTGGTGCGTGCATAGAGCCAATTATTATTTCCTACTTGTACGTCTGGGTCTGATCTAAGTGGCTGCGGTTACCTCGGTTGTATCCCCTCTGACCAATCAGCGAGCGGGGGAGGCGGGTGTTGTAAGGAGGCAAATGCGATAGTAAAGTAAGACGTTCTAGTTCAGCTCTAAATATCAAGAAATTTAAGCCAGAGCAAGAGGAAAGTTTAGCAGATTTCATTACTAACAGATGTTGTGGCTCTACTCCCCACAGGCTCTGTTTGTGGAAAAGGAGATGGCCAAAGCTAGGCTAAATCCTAAAGCTAGGCTAAATGCAAGCGACTCACTCGGGCTCATTAGGAGTAAAAAGGAGTTAACTCCTCCCACCTGTTAATAGAGTTCAAATCAAGTACACAGTGAAAATAGTACAATGGTGTGGTAAGACCAGGCTACGGCAGTAAACCTTCCCAGAGCACTTTGCTTCCTCCCTGTATTAATGAACATGTCCCTACGTGTAGTGGTTCTTCTGGCACCCCTCCACAGTTCCCAGTTAGCTGCACTTTGTTAGCATGTTAGAGGGGAGAGAGAGAAAAAAAAGAAGGGAGAGCGAGAGGAAGAGAGAGAACAGGGGGAGAGCGAGAGGAAGAGAGAGAACAGGGGGAGAGCGAGAGGAAGAGAGAGAACAGGGGGAGAGCGAGAGGAAGAGAGAGAACAGGGGGAGAGCGAGAGGAAGAGAGAGAACAGGGGGAGAGCGAGAGGAAGAGAGAGAACAGGGGGAGAGCGAGAGGAAGAGAGAGAACAGGGGGAGAGCGAGAGGAAGAGAGAGAACAGGGGGAGAGCGAGAGGAAGAGAGAGAACAGGGAGAGAGAGAGAGGAGAGAGAGAAGTATTGTTGTATTGTATTTGTATAAAGCAATGTTCATTGTCAAATTCATGTCACTCCTGTAAACGCTAGGATCGTGCTCCCTCTGGTGGTGACATGTGAGACTGACACAGAGCACTGCTGTCAAAACTACATCCGTGACTAATGTGGGAATGAGAGTGTGTGTGTCTGATGTGTGTGTGTGTCTGATGTGTGTGTGTGACAGATGTGTGTGTGTCTGATGTGTGTGTGTGACAGATGTGTGTGTGTCTGATGTGTGTGTGTGACTGATGTGTGTGTGTGACTGATGTGTGTGTGTCTGATGTGTGTGTGTGACTGATGTGTGTGTGTGACTGATGTGTGTGTGTCTGATGTGTGTGTGTGACAGATGTGTGTGTGTCTGATGTGTGTGTGACAGATGTGTGTGTGTCTGATGTGTGTGTGTGACTGATGTGTGTGTGTCTGATGTGTGTGTGTGTCTGATGTGTGTGTGTCTGATGTGTGTGTGTGACAGATGTGTGTGTGTCTGATGTGTGTGTGTGTCTGATGTGTGTGTGTGACAGATGTGTGTGTGTCTGATGTGTGTGTGTGACTGATGTGTGTGTGTGACTGATGTGTGTGTGTCTGATGTGTGTGTGTGACTGATGTGTGTGTGTCTGATGTGTGTGTGTGACTGATGTGTGTGTGACAGATGTGTGTGTGTCTGATGTGTGTGTGTGTCTGATGTGTGTGTGTGACTGATGTGTGTGTGTCTGATGTGTGTGTGTGACTGATGTGTGTGTGACTGATGTGTGTGTGTGACTGATGTGTGTGTGACTGATGTGTGTGTGTGTGACTGATGTGTGTGTGACAGATGTGTGTGTGTGACTGATGTGTGTGTGTCTGATGTGTGTGTGTGACTGATGTGTGTGTGACTGATGTGTGTGTGACTGATGTGTGTGTGACAGATGTGTGTGTGTGACTGATGTGTGTGTGTCTGATGTGTGTGTGTGACTGATGTGTGTGTGTCTGATGTGTGTGTGTGACTGATGTGTGTGTGACAGATGTGTGTGTGTCTGATGTGTGTGTGTGACTGATGTGTGTGTGTGTCTGATGTGTGTGTGACTGATGTGTGTGTGTCTGATGTGTGTGTGACAGATGTGTGTGTGACTGATGTGTGTGTGTCTGATGTGTGTGTGTGACTGATGTGTGTGTGACTGATGTGTGTGTGACTGATGTGTGTGTGTGACTGATGTGTGTGTGTCTGATGTGTGTGTGTGACTGATGTGTGTGTGTCTGATGTGTGTGTGACAGATGTGTGTGTGTGTCTGATGTGTGTGTGTGACTGATGTGTGTGTGTCTGATGTGTGTGTGTGTGTCTGATGTGTGTGTGTGACTGATGTGTGTGTGTTGATGTGTGTGTGACTGATGTGTGTGTGACTGATGTGTGTGTGACTGATGTGTGTGTGTGGACAGATGTGTGTGTGTCTGATGTGTGTGTGTGACTGATGTGTGTGTGTGTGTGATGTGTGTGTGACAGATGTGTGTGTGACTGATGTGTGTGTGTGACAGATGTGTGTGTGACTGATGTGTGTGTGACAGATGTGTGTGTGTCTGATGTGTGTGTGTGACTGATGTGTGTGTGACTGATGTGTGTGTGTGACAGATGTGTGTGTGACTGATGTGTGTGTGACTGATGTGTGTGTGTCTGATGTGTGTGTGACAGATGTGTGTGTGACTGATGTGTGTGTGACAGATGTGTGTGTGACTGATGTGTGTGTGTCTGATGTGTGTGTGTGACTGATGTGTGTGTGTGACTGATGTGTGTGTGACTGATGTGTGTGTGACTGATGTGTGTGTGACTGATGTGTGTGTGACTGATGTGTGTGTGTGACTGATGTGTGTGTGACAGATGTGTGTGTGTGACAGATGTGTGTGTGACTGATGTGTGTGTGACTGATGTGTGTGTGACTGATGTGTGTGTGACAGATGTGTGTGTGTCTGATGTGTGTGTGTGACTGATGTGTGTGTGACTGATGTGTGTGTGACTGATGTGTGTGTAACTGATGTGTGTGTGACTGATGTGTGTGTGACTGATGTGTGTGTGACAGATGTGTGTGTGTGACTGATGTGTGTGTGACTGATGTGTGTGTGACTGATGTGTGTGTGTGACTGATGTGTGTGTGGCTGATGTGTGTGTGACTGATGTGTGTGTGATTGATGTGTGTGTGACTGATGTGTGTGTGACTGATGTGTGTGTGTGTGACTGATGTGTGTGTGACTGATGTGTGTGTGTGACTGATGTGTGTGTGATTGATGTGTGTGTGACTGATGTGTGTGTGTGACTGATGTGTGTGTGACTGATGTGTGTGTGACTGATGTGTGTGTGACTGATGTGTGTGTGACTGATGTGTGTGTGTCTGATGTGTGTGTGACTGATGTGTGTGTGTCTGATGTGTGTGTGACTGATTTGTGTGTGACTGATGTGTGTGTGACTGATGTGTGTGTGTCTGATGTGTGTGTGACTGATGTGTGTGTGTCTGATGTGTGTGTGTCTGATGTGTGTGTGACTGATGTGTGTGTGTCTGATGTGTGTGTGACTGATTTGTGTGTGACTGATGTGTGTGTGACTGATGTGTGTGTGTGACTGATGTGTGTGTGACTGATGTCTGTGTGACTGATGTGTGTGTGTCTGATGTGTGTGTGACTGATGTGTGTGTGACTGATGTGTGTGTGACTGATGTGTGTGTGTGACTGATGTGTGTGTGTCTGATGTGTGTGTGACTGATGTGTGTGTGACTGATGTGTGTGTGACTGATGTGTGTGTGACTGATGTGTGTGTGGACTGATGTGTGTGTGGATGTGTGTGTGACTGATGTGTGTGTGACTGATGTGTGTGTGACTGATGTGTGTGTGACTGATGTGTGTGTGTGACTGATGTGTGTGTGACTGATGTGTGTGTGACTGATGTGTGTGTGACTGATGTGTGTGTGTGTGACTGATGTGTGTGTGTGACTGATGTGTGTGTGACTGATGTGTGTGTGTGACTGATGTGTGTGTGGCTGATGTGTGTGTGACTGATGTGTGTGTGTGACTGATGTGTGTGTGACTGATGTGTGTGTGTGACTGATGTGTGTGTGAGTGATGTGTGTGTGACTGATGTGTGTGTGATTGATGTGTGTGTGACTGATGTGTGTGTGACTGATGTGTGTGTGTGATGATGTGTGTGTGACTGATGTGTGTGTGATGATGTGTGTGTGGACTGATGTGTGTGTGTGACTGATGTGTGTGTGCTGATGTGTGTGTGACTGATGTGTGTGTGACTGATGTGTGTGTGACTGATGTGTGTGTGACTGATGTGTGTGTGACTGATGTGTGTGTGACTGATGTGTGTGTGACTGATGTGTGTGTGTGATGTGTGTGTGTGACTGATGTGTGTGTGTCTGATGTGTGTGTGACTGATGTGTGTGTGACTGATGTGTGTGTGACTGATGTGTGTGTGTCTGATGTGTGTGTGTCTGATGTGTGTGTGACTGATGTGTGTGTGTCTGATGTGTGTGTGTGTGTTGATGTGTGTGTGTCTGATGTGTGTGTGACTGATGTGTGTGTGTCTGATGTGTGTGTGACTGATGTGTGTGTGACTGATGTGTGTGTGACTGATGTGTGTGTGTGACTGATGTGTGTGTGACTGATGTGTGTGTGACTGATGTGTGTGTGTCTGATGTGTGTGTGACTGATGTGTGTGTGACTGATGTGTGTGTGACTGATGTGTGTGTGTGACTGATGTGTGTGTGTGTCTGATGTGTGTGTGACTGATGTGTGTGTGTGACTGATGTGTGTGTGACTGATGTGTGTGTGACTGATGTGTGTGTGACTGATGTGTGTGTGTCTGATGTGTGTGTGACTGATGTGTGTGTGACAGATGTGTGTGTGACTGATGTGTGTGTGACTGATGTGTGTGTGACAGATGTGTGTGTGACAGATGTGTGTGTGACAGATGTGTGTGTGACAGATGTGTGTGTGTGACAGATGTGTGTGTGACAGATGTGTGTGTGACAGATGTGTGTGTGTGACAGTTGTGTGTGTGTGACAGTTGTGTGTGTGTGACAGATGTGTGTGTGACAGATGTGTGTGTGACAGATGTGTGTGACAGATGTGTGTGACAGATGTGTGTGTGACAGATGTGTGTGTGATAGATGTGTGTGTGTGACAGTTGTGTGTGTGTGACAGATGTGTGTGTGACAGATGTGTGTGTGACAGATGTGTGTGACAGATGTGTGTGACAGATGTGTGTGTGACAGATGTGTGTGTGACAGATGTGTGTGTGTGACAGTTTTGTGTGTGTGACAGATGTGTGTGTGACAGATGTGTGTGTGACAGATGTGTGTGACAGATGTGTGTGTGACAGATGTGTGTGTGACAGTTGTGTGTGTGTGACAGTTGTGTGTGTGTGACAGTTATGTGTGTGTGTGTGTGTGACAGTTGTGTGTGTGTGACAGATGTGTGTGTGTGACAGTTGTGTGTGTGTGACAGTTGTGTGTGTGTGACAGATGTGTGTGTGACAGATGTGTGTGTGACAGATGTGTGTGACAGATGTGTGTGACAGATGTGTGTGTGACAGATGTGTGTGTGACAGATGTGTGTGTGACAGATGTGTGTGTGACAGATGTGTGTGACAGATGTGTGTGACAGATGTGTGTGTGACAGATGTGTGTGTGACAGATGTGTGTGTGTGACAGTTGTGTGTGTGTGACAGATGTGTGTGTGACAGATGTGTGTGTGACAGATGTGTGTGACAGATGTGTGTGACAGATGTGTGTGTGATAGATGTGTGTGTGACAGATGTGTGTGTGTGACAGTTGTGTGTGTGTGACAGATGTGTGTGACAGATGTGTGTGTGACAGATGTGTGTGACAGATGTGTGTGTGTGACAGTTGTGTGTGTGTGACAGTTGTGTGTGTGTGACAGTTGTGTGTGTGACAGATGTGTGTGTGTGACAGTTGTGTGTGTGTGACAGTTGTGTGTGTGTGACAGTTGTGTGTGTGTGACAGTTGTGTGTGTGTGACAGTTGTGTATGTGACAGATGTGTGTGTGTGACAGTTGTGTGTGTGTGACAGTTGTGTGTGTGTGACAGTTGTGTGTGTGACAGATGTGTGTGACAGATGTGTGTGTGACAGATGTGTGTGTGATAGATGTGTGTGTGACAGATGTGTGTGTGTGACAGTTGTGTGTGTGTGACAGATGTGTGTGACAGATGTGTGTGTGACAGATGTGTGTGACAGATGTGTGTGTGTGACAGTTGTGTGTGTGACAGATGTGTGTGTGTGACAGTTGTGTGTGTGTGACAGTTGTGTGTGTGTGACAGTTGTGTGTGTGACAGATGTGTGTGACAGATGTGTGTGTGACAGATGTGTGTGTGTGTGTGTGCTCAGGCTTCTGGGTTCGGCAGCGGAGACGATTCTTACGAGGATCTGGAACGACCTGACGAAGTGAAGAAAGCTGTGGAGGAGCGAGAATACTCGGAGGTGACGTCACAAACTCTGAAATCAGGACAAATGTAGAATGTTATTTTTCACGTCTTGGAGGAACCTGACACTACTTTTTGTTTTCAATGTCTCATATCATTTCATGTGTGTATCCATTTCAAACACACACTGCACACACACACATACACGTTTTTGTTACCTGGTGGGTCCCTTTGACAGGGCCGTTCAGAATGGGACCCATAGACATAATCTTTTTTTACCAAGACTTTAAGTAATACAAAACAGTCAATAGAAACCAAACAACTATTTTAAAGGAATTTTATTTTAGATTTTGTTTTCGAATTGCAGTGATTCTATTTTTGACATAGAATTTAATGCCACTCCATGTCCGATGTCTAAGGTCATCTGGTGAGGCATTAATGCAGGCCAGGCAGTGAGACTTCCCAGGGACCTTTCCAGTCTGTATGAAAGGTGTCATGGTCTTCTCCACAGCCTTCACCTCAGATGCAGACCATGGCTTTCTCTAACGTTCTAGGGAGAGAAATAAAAATATATCAGCAATATACAAACCCAACACCAACACACTCCTGTTATGTGGACCTCGGTGGACGCTGCGGCCTCTGCAGCGTGTGGAGGAGGTGAGGGCAGCTGGGATTGTTTTGCAAACGCTGACTTCAATATTTCCCCCAGATTTTTCCCATAATTGAACTCTGTCCGTGTTCAAACCGTGTGTGAGGGTCCAGGGGTGGTCCAGCTGCTTCCTCTGTGGAACATCCTCGTCTGAAGTTTTGTTTTGACACAATCCACCGCAGTAAATAAACTGACAATACAATACACACAGAGTACACAGAGCCACAAGTACAAGTCCCAGGTAGTTTTCCATCACAAGTGGAAGTACAAGTACTGTACATGTGGAGGAGAGGGTCCCAGAGTGTGTCTGCAAGACTTTGATATTGGAGTTCTTCTGATGTAGACTGGGGATGGGAATGGAAGCTACTAGACTATTACTACTATTAGTACTATTAGTACTATTAGTACTACTGCTGCTACTGCTACTACTACTACTACTAACTTTACTGTTGTTGCTGCTGTTACTGCCGCTAGAACTGCTGATTTTACTACTGTTGTCACTAATAGCCTACTTTTACTACTGCTGCTACCATCCAATTGTCCTTTGTCAGAACTACCAAGTGGAAACCAGGTGGAAACCAGGTGGATACAGAGTCCATTAATGACTTCTTTGATTAGTTTCATCCATGGTTTCCTTTGTCCGCCTTCTTGTTTTTTCCCTTTTGGTTTTCAAATATTGACCATTGACCTTTTTCTTTGCCAGAATTTCATTCTTCTTTTTGTAATAATACTTAGGATTTTAACGCATTTACATTTTAGTCTCTTACAGAATACCAGTTACCTTTTCAGTATTGGGTTTTGAAATGCCTTCAGCCTCAGGTTACTGTCCTTCCTAAGCAGGACCTAAGCAGGACCTATAAGTAGGACCAATAAGCAGGACCAATAAGCAGGACCTATAAGCAGGACCTAAGCAGGACCTAAGCAGGACCTATAAGCAGGACCTATAAGCAGGACCTATAAGCAGGACCTATAAGCAGGACCTAAGCAGGACCTATAAGCAGGACCCATAAGCAGGACCTATAATCAGGACCCATAAGCAGGACCTATAAGCAGGACCTATAAGCAGGACCTAAGCAGGACCTAAGCAGGACCTATAAGCAGGACCAATAAGCAGGACCTATAAGCAGGACCAATAAGCAGGACCTATAATCAGGACCCATAAGCAGGACCTATAAGCAGGACCTATAAGCAGGACCTAAGCAGGACCTAAGCAGGACCTATAAGCAGGACCAATAAGCAGGACCTATAATCAGGACCCATAAGCAGGACCTATTAGCAGGACCTATAAGCAGGACCTAAGCAGGACCTAAGCAGGACCTATAAGCAGGACCTATAAGCAGGACCTAAGCAGGACCTATAAGCAGGACCTATAAGCAGGACCTATAAGCAGGACCTATAAGCAGGACCTAAGCAGGACCTATAAGCAGGACCCATAAGCAGGACCTATAAGCAGGACCTATAAGCAGGACCTATAAGCAGGACCTATAAGCAGGACCTAAGCAGGACCTATAAGCAGGACCTATAAGCAGGACCAATAAGCAGGACCTATAAGCAGGACCTAAGCAGGACCTATAAGCAGGACCCATAAGCAGGACCTATAAGCAGGACCTAAGCAGGACCTAAGCAGGACCTATAAGCAGGACCAATAAGCAGGACCTATAAGCAGGACCTAAGCAGGACCTATAAGCAGGACCTATAAGCAGGACCAATAAGCAGGACCTATAAGCAGGACCTAAGCAGGACCTATAAGCAGGACCCATAAGCAGGACCTATAAGCAGGACCTAAGCAGGACCTAAGCAGGACCTATAAGCAGGACCAATAAGCAGGACCTATAAGCAGGACCTAAGCAGGACCTAAGCAGGACCTATAAGCAGGACCAATAAGCAGGACCTATAATCAGGACCCATAAGCAGGACCTATAAGCAGGACCTATAAGCAGGACCTAAGCAGGACCTAAGCAGGACCTATAAGCAGGATCAATAAGCAGGACCTATAATCAGGACCCATAAGCAGGACCTATAAGCAGGACCTATAAGCAGGACCTAAGCAGGACCTAAGCAGGACCTATAAGCAGGACCTATAAGCAGGACCTATACGCAGGACCTATAAGCAGGACCTAAGCAGGACCTATAAGCAGGACCTAAGCAGGACCTATAAGCAGGACCTATAAGCAGGACCTATAAGCAGGACCTAAGCAGGACCTATAAGCAGGACCTATAAGCAGGACCTATAAGCAGGACCTATAAGCAGGACCTATAAGCAGGACCTATAAGCAGGACCTATAAGCAGGACCTATAAGCAGGACCTAAGCAGGACCTATACGCAGGACCTATAAGCAGGACCTATAAGCAGGACCTATAAGCAGGACCTATAAGCAGGACCTAAGCAGGACCTATACGCAGGACCTATAAGCAGGACCTATAAGCAGGACCTATAAGCAGGACCTATAAGCAGGACCTATAAGCAGGACCTATAAGCAGGACCTATAAGCAGGACCTATAAGCAGGACCTATAGGCAGGACCTAAGCAGGACCTATACGCAGGACCTATAAGCAGGACCTAAGCAGGACCTATAAGCAGGACCTATAAGCAGGACCTATAAGCAGGACCTATAAGCAGGACCTATAAGCAGGACCTATAAGCAGGACCTATAAGCAGGACCTATAAGCAGGACCTATAGGCAGGACCTAAGCAGGACCTATACGCAGGACCTATAAGCAGGACCTAAGCAGGACCTATACGCAGGACCTATAAGCAGGACCTATAAGCAGGACCTATAAGCAGGACCTATAAGCAGGACCTAAGCAGGACCTATACGCAGGACCTATAAGCAGGACCTATAAGCAGGACCTATAAGCAGGACCTATAAGCAGGACCTAAGCAGGACCTATAAGCAGGACCTATAAGCAGGACCTATAAGCAGGACCTAAGCAGGACCTAAGCAGGACCTATAAGCAGGACCTATAAGCAGGACCTATAAGCAGGACCTAAGCAGGACCTAAGCAGGACCTATAAGCAGGACCTATAAGCAGGACCTATAAGCAGGACCTATAAGCAGGACCTATAAGCAGGACCTATAAGCAGGACCTATAAGCAGGACCTATAAGCAGGACCTAAGCAGGACCTATAAGCAGGACCTATAAGCAGGACCTATAAGCAGGACCTAAGCAGGACCTAAGCAGGACCTATAAGCAGGACCTATAAGCAGGACCTATAAGCAGGACCTAAGCAGGACCTAAGCAGGACCTATAAGCAGGACCTATAAGCAGGACCTAAGCAGGACCTATAAGCAGGACCTATGAGCAGGACCTATAAGCAGGACCTATAAGCAGGACCTATAAGCAGGACCTATAAGCAGGACCTATAAGCAGGACCTAAGCAGGACCTAAGCAGGACCTATAAGCAGGACCTATAAGCAGGACCTATAAGCAGGACCTAAGCAGGACCTAAGCAGGACCTATAAGCAGGACCTATAAGCAGGACCTAAGCAGGACCTATAAGCAGGACCTATGAGCAGGACCTATAAGCAGGACCTATAAGCAGGACCTATAAGCAGGACCTATAAGCAGGACCTATAAGCAGGACCTAAGCAGGACCTATAAGCAGGACCTATAAGCAGGACCTAAGCAGGACCTATAAGCAGGACCTATAAGCAGGACCTATAAGCAGGACCTAAGCAGGACCTATAAGCAGGACCTATAAGCAGGACCTATAAGCAGGACCTATAAGCAGGACCTATAAGCAGGACCTATAAGCAGGACCTAAGCAGGACCTATAAGCAGGACCTATAAGCAGGACCTATAAGCAGGACCTAAGCAGGACCTATACGCAGGACCTATAAGCAGGACCTAAGCAGGACCTATAAGCAGGACCTAAGCAGGACCTATAAGCAGGACCTATAAGCAGGACCTATAAGCAGGACCTAAGCAGGACCTATAAGCAGGACCTATAAGCAGGACCTATAAGCAGGACCTATAAGCAGGACCTATAAGCAGGACCTAAGCAGGACCTATAAGCAGGACCTATAAGCAGGACCTATAAGCACCAAGAACTTGAGCAGTGCCACTTTTGTTCCTAGTTTGTTTTCTGCAGAGCTTCTACCGGGGTCTGCGATCTTCTGCTTTATTTCTCTGTGGTGTCACCATCGTATAATTCAAATATTCAAATATTTGAATTCTTCCACAATGCCATAGTGTTTTGTTGTCTCGGCACTCTCTGTGTCCCACAGTAATGGAGCACTGTGTGTTTTTTTACTGCTCCCTCTTTGGTTGCGCTTCTTCCGACCCCTCCAGCAGTGCACTGTCTACAGTAGATTTGTGAGTTTTTAGGCCGAGATCAGTATCAAACAATCTCTGGCACTGGTCACACCAGAAGAGTGGGTTATGTTCTTAATCTGCTGCTGGTACCATTTCCACTGCATGCTCCTATTACTGCTGTTACTACTTGAAATACTACTACACACGTTCAAAGTAAGAGCAGAAAGTAAACATGATATTGTCCCTGCGACCGCTCTACAGACTCACAGACCTCACTCTACATACTGACATCTGTATATATGTTTTGTGAATGTTTCTTTATTCCTATTCTATCTTTTCTGCTGTTTGTTTACAGCTGTACCCAGAGCTGGAGGTCCACAGCACCCCAGTCCCAGCTCCTCCCACTGAGACGTCCAGAGGAGAAGATGATGAGGACAGCTACATGGAGGAGACATCGGGCCAGGAGCAGGAGACCAGCAGCCCAGGTGTCTACATATTTATCTGTTTGTTTGGAGGATAAGTGAGAAAGAAGAAAAAAAAGAGAGCGAGAGAGAAGAGAAAGAGGAGAGAGAGAGAGAAGAGAGAGCTACAGATGTTACTACTACTAAAGCTGCTGCTCTTACTACTGCTGTTTCTACTGATACTTAATCAGTCTTGTAAACTGGACCTTTACCACCAGGGCATGGTTGCTGTGATCAATGTTGCTGTGATATAGACAAGTACCACCAGATGGCGCCAGTGTCCATACATTGAACCTTTTAATGTCTTTTTACAGTCTCTCCTCTGAGATCCACTGCTGCCTCCACCACCAACACAGTGAGTGCAAATGATTGAACTGAATAATAAATAATATTCTGGAATTATTCTATACAATTTTGATCCACGAATAATTTATTTTGATGTATTAAAATCAGCAGAAAGTGATTTGACGTGGGTTACAAATCCTGGTCCAAACAAGAATGTGTGTGATTGTCCCAGTTGGTGCAGACGTCCAGGTCTCCAGGGCTGAAAGGGGAGAGAGGAGACCCAGGACTCCCAGGACCCCTCGGACCCCCTGGACCCTCCTCAAACGGGACCGGATCTGGAGCTAGTCCTGGAGCCAGAGGACCTCAGGGACCACAAGGACCCACCGGAGCACCAGGGAAGGACGGGCTGTCGGTGAGAAACTTTATCTTTACCATATTCTGTGCCATTAAAACTGTCGGCCAAATGAATATAACCTTCTGTAAATATGACGGAGGATTATAAAGATGTGATAAATCAAACATTCTGAGATGAACCTGGACCAGTTTGAAGTCCAAACAAAATGTACAGTCCAGAAATCACCAGTAGGCATTTTACATGTGTTCCACCTGGAGCTTTTTTCCTTATTACAGCTCCCTAAACCTTATTCCCTGCTACGTTTACTTCTGCAAATGTGAAACGGGATTTGTTAAAACAAAAATGTGCAAATTCTACCGTCAATTAGATCATCAGCTACACCCTCTATATTTGTATGAACTCTGAACTTTGTAAAGCGCTTTGAGTGGCCATGGTCTGTAAAATGCAATAAAATAAAGACTATACTGACTATATTTACCATTGGAAGTGTGTCTGAGTGACATCTTTCTCTGTGCAAAGAGAGATGAAAGCTGTTTCCACTTATAATTAGAATAAATGAGTCATAAGAGGCCACACCTGCAGGACCTCAGCTTCTCACAGAGTAGAAGGAGGTTAATGACCGTAGTGGTTAAAAACTATGCTTTTAATGGTAATTACATAACTCAAAAAACTAATTTAGTTCTGGTGTTTTCAGGGCAGTAAAGGAGACGATGGTGAACCAGTGAGTGTCCTTTTCATTTGATTCCGATCCGAGCTCGTCTCAGTAACACACTGTTATACCCGAGTTAGATTTTTGTTGTTTCTTGTCTACAAACATTGAGACCGTGCGCGTGAATCCACAGGGACCTCAGGGACCTCAGGGGCCTCAGGGGCCCGCGGGGTTCCCAGGGGAGCAGGGCGAGCTCGGCCCCAAAGGAGATAAGGTGAGACTCTCATCAGTGACTTTTAATCTGTGACGATCCGGGATGTTTGACGAGTGTGTGGTCCTCAGGGAGATCCAGGACTGGGATCACCTGGACCTCCTGGGCCTCCTGGGCCTCCGGGACGAGCCACGTCTGCGGTATGTCCACCTCTGTCCTCCTCTGTCCTCCTCTGTCCTCCTCTGTCCACCTCTGTCCACCTCTGTCCTCCTCTGTCCTCCTCTGTCCACCTCTGTCCTCCTCTGTCCTCCTCTGTCCTCCTCTGTCCTCCTCTGTCCACCTCTCTCCTCCTCTGGCCACCTCTGTCCATCTCTGTCCTCCTCTGTCCTCCTCTGTCCTCCTCTGTCCTCCCCTGTCCACCTCTGTCCTCCTCTCTCCTCCTCTGTCTTCTGTCCTCTCTCCTCCTCTGTCCTCCTCTGTCCACCTCTGTCCATCTCTGTCCTCCTCTGTCCTCCTCTGTCCACCTCTGTCCTCCTCTGTCCTCCTCTGTCCACCTCTGTCCACCTCTGTCCTCCCCTGTCCACCTCTGTCCTCTGTCCACCTCTGTCCTCCTCTGTCCTCCTCTGTCCACCTCTGTCCTCCCCTGTCCTCCCCTGTCCACCTCTGTCCTCTGTCCACCTCTGTCCTCCTCTGTCCTCTGTCCACCTCTGTCCTCCTCTGTCCACCTCTGTCCTCCTCTGTCCTCCCCTGTACACCTCTGTCCTCTGTCCACCTCTGTCCTCCTCTGTCCTCCTCTGTCTTCTGTCCTCCTCTGTCCTCTGTCCTCCTCTGTCCTCCTCTGTCCACCTCTGTCCTCTTCTGTCCTCCTCTGTCCTCCCCTGTCCTCCTCTGTCCTCCTCTGTCCACCTCTGTCCACCTCTGTCCTCCCCTGTCCACCTCTGTCCTCTGTCCACCTCTGTCCTCCCCTGTCCTCCTCTGTCCTCTGTCCACCTCTGTCCTCTTTCCTCCTCTCTCCTCCTCTGTCTTCTGTCCTCTCTCCTCCTCTGTCCTCCTCTGTCTTCTGTCCTCCTCTGTCCACCTCTGTCCATCTCTGTCCTCCTCTCTCCTCCTCTCTCCTCCTCTGTCCTCCTCTGTCTTCTGTCCACCTCTGTCCTCCTCTGTCCTCCTCTCTCCTCCTCTGTCCACCTCTGTCCTCCTCTGTCCTCCTCTGTCCTCCTCTGTCCTCCTCTCCTCCTCCTCTGTCCACCTCTGTCCTCCTCTGTCCTCCTCTGTCCTCCTCTGTCCACCTCTGTCCTCCTCTGTCCTCCTCTGTTTTCTGTCCTCTGTCCTCCTCTGTCCTCCTCTGTCCTCCTCTGTCCACCTCTGTCCTCTTCTGTCTTCTGTCCTCTCTCCTCCTCTGTCCTCTCTCCTCCTCTGTCCTCCTCTGTCTTCTGTCCTCCTCTGTCCTCCTCTGTCCACCTCTGTCCATCTCTGTCCTCCTCTCTCCTCCTCTGTCCTCCTCTGTCTTCTGTCCACCTCTGTCCTCCTCTGTCCTCCTCTGTCCTCCTCTGTCCACCTCTGTCCACCTCTGTCCTCCTCTGTCCTCCTCTGTCCTCCTCTGTCCTCCTCTGTCCACCTCTGTCCACCTCTGTCCTCCTCTGTCCTCCTCTGTCCTCCTCTGTCTTCTGTCCTCTCTCCTCCTCTGTCCTCTCTCCTCCACTGTCCACTGTCCTCTCTCCTCCTCTGTCCTCCTCTGTCATCTGTCCTTTCTCCTCCTCTGTCCTCTGTCCTCTCTCCTCCACTGTCCTCTCTCCTCCTCTGTCTTCTGTCCTTTCTCCTCCTCTGTCCTCTGTCCTCTCTCCTCCACTGTCCTCTCTCCTCCTCTGTCCTCCTCTGTCTTCTGTCCTTTCTCCTCCTCTGTCCTCTGTCCTCTCTCCTCCACTGTCCTCTCTCCTCCTCTGTCCTCCTCTGTCCTCTGTCCTCCTCTGTCCTCTGTCCTCCTCTGTCCTCTGTCCTCCTCTGTCCTCCTCTGTCCTCTGGCCTCCTCTGTCCTCCTCTGTCCTCTCCTGACTTTGCTCTGTGTTTTCAGGAGGGCTCAGGGTTCGACTTTGACAGTGATGCAGAGATTTTCAGAGTAAGTTTTTCCTGATTTTACATGTTACCAGCCGCAGCGTCTCCAGTCCACGGTTCAGGATGATGAATGCTTTTGGGCATAAACATTGAAATAAATGTAGTCGTATTTTTTAGGGTGTTTAGAATAACACACTAACATTCCTTAGAAATCCTGTGTGGGAAAATATTTTTTTTCCTTTACTCAAACCACAAAGCATTAGGAAAAGTAACAATATGCATATCACATGTTTCATTCAATATTAACTTTACTATACAAATGACCTCCGACTCCCTCTGGAGAGTCCAGACAGACACAGAAGACACATTAAATAGACGTATTGGTTATTATTTGCCAAATAGACACTGGATCAGGGCTTCTCTGATCCTCTGGGGCCTAGACACTGGAGGCATGAAAGCCAGATCGTGATCAATGCGTTTGCCTCAATCTCCGGCGATCCAAGATGGCGCCGTATTCAAATGATTGGTTTGTGCTCAGTGGCGCTTTGTGACGGCATGGGGGCTGAAAGATTAGCGGAAGTGGCCTGGAACTCTCAAAGATCTATGGGAAACTCTCAAAGATCTATGGGAAACTCTCAAAGATCTATGGGAAACTCTCAAAGATCTATGAGAAACTCTCAAAGATCTTTCTCCCCTGCGTCCTACCACTGTAAATATGAATTATGTCCTACGACCGCGGTCCGGGTGAGAGGGAGGGAGAGGCTTGACCGAATCGCATAGACTGCAACTGCACATGCGCAGTTTAAAACTGAAGTTTGACTTTAAACTAAAAAGTATGACTTTCTGTATAGGGATTTTTTTATGGCAGAAACGGGCTTCTATACTTTGGAGCTAGGCTTTTAATATGTGCTAAGGAGAATTAAAAAATCACCATTCAAATGTGTCTTTTGGAAGGGCCCGTGGCCACCAGGGGGTGGTATTACAGCAATGTGCTTACTGCCATTAGTACGTAGGTCGACCATATTCGCGACCTTGTGCTGCGGTAATTGAGGTCAAGCTGATACCATGGGTCGATATAAAAAGGGAATTAAAAAGAAGTCTGACCTCTGGATTGAAGCAGGAGGGAGACTTTCTATAGTTAATGCTTTTTTAAAATTGAAATTTTACCTTGCCAAACCCACGGCTCAACAGTGGTCGTCTTTGACGTTGACCATTTTTCAGAGAAATGACCAAAAAACAGAAAAATGGCTCAAATTAATATGGGATTTGGACAGAAGAGGAGTCAAAACCGAAGTGTGTAAAAGTAAACAAGGTAAGTGTTCTTTTTCTTATTTTTTATTTTTTGGCATGGGCTAATTGCCATAGGGTAATTCCTAAAAGAGCTTTTTGTGTTCCAAGGAACAAACTTGAAAGTAATGACTTAAAGCAGTACTGGAATTTACCATGCTGCTTTCCAGAAAATGTGATTATAATATTTTGGGTGTTCATTTTGACATGTTAAGATGAATTATGTAAAACAAAAAACGACTTTGAAGTCGCACTTTTTCACTTCCGCATAGAAACGCTTGGCGCCAACATTACAGCCATAACGTAGGAGAATGATGCCTCACAGCAGAGGACAGCGGTCTTGGCTGGAAACTGTAGGATATATATGTTTATACTTTTCATCTGAACAAAGTATAAACATATGTTCATCAGTTTTGTACATAATAGTGTGCAACTCTTTTAGCCTTATGTTTGAGATTCAAGCTAATCCATAAATGCTAAGACTTATTAATAATAAGAATAATAATACATTTTATTTCTTAGGCGCCTTTCTTGATACTCAACAACATAAGTAAAAAGGGTGCATAACATATTAACAGTTTAAGTAACATTTTTTTCATAGATTGCATCACATGCCTCATGTTAGCTCTTGTGTCTATGTTTTCAACCTCAGCAGCTTTTTGTTCATATAGTATGTTCCTAAAAGTAAAATATTTATTCAATTCAAGTAATTTTGATTAGCATTTTTGGATATTACAATGTACATCGTGGTAAATAAATCTAAGGCAACCAAAGTGAGACTGGCATAATGTACAAACGAATATTAGCCTTGTAAGCATGTTTTAGGAAATCTTGATTTCAAGAAGCTAACTTGCCCAACACTGGGGACCGTTAGGGAAAGTTTTTATCTTGAATCTCACAAATAAGGCTAAAAGAGTTGCACACATAAAAAGCCCCCGCTGAAAGATCAAGGCTATGCTCACACTCAGAGAGCAGCCGTCCTCCTGTGGACTCACCACCTGCAGAGGGTCAGTGAGGGGCTGGTGCTATGAGACTTGGGTGGCATCTCTGACTGCCACCCCCCTGACCCAGAAATGGATTAAAGGGTAGAAAATGGATGGATGGATGGAGTTGCACACTATTATGTACAAAACTGATGAAAATATGTTTATACCTTGTTCAGATGACAGTGAAACCTCCGATTCTTCCCCAGATTCCATGACTGCTGTTCGCTGCTGTGAGAGATCATCATTTTTTTTTCACATAATTCATCTTAACGTGTAAAAATGAACACCCGAAATATTAACACATATTGTAGTTATATATTATGGATAGGAGCTTGGTAAATTCTAAATTCTCTTCTACTTTAACTTAGGCTAGAATAGCTATAATGAATTGCTTGAGTGGGTGGGTTGGTTGGTGGTATTAGGAGGGGCCGATGTTGTATACCTTTAAATTTTTGGAATAAACGGCTAATAAAGAAGTGGTTTCCTACATACAAATCTGAAACAACTTTTGTTTTCTGCTGATTTACAATCAAAATTAATGATGTGGAAACTCAATTATGTTGTAGTAATGTGTCACAAAAAGCAGATCCTTGTATATTACTTGAAAAATTCTAATGGTTTGCATACTAGGTAGCCCCTGGAGTGTTGTTGAGGACAACATGAAGGAAAGTGAAGAATACATGCTGACTACACATACAGCCGCTGCATCACTACAGAGTCAAATGTGCACAAATATCAACTTGTTTTTAACACATTATTTTTTTAAATACAGCTGCTTCTGACAAAGATGTGGAGGACAACCAGGCAACATCTTCATCGGAAGTGGCAGGGGCTGAGCTCAACAGAGCAGCTACTCCCTTAACCATCTCAGATGATGATGTTCAGGACAACCGAGCAGCCACTCCCTTAACCATCTCAGATGATGATGTTCAGGACAACCGAGCAGCTACTCCCTTAACCATCTCAGAGGACGATCTGGAGGACAACCGAGCAGCTACTCCCTTAACCATCTCAGAGGACGATCTGGAGGACAACCGAGCAGCTACTCCCTTAACCATCTCAGATGATGATGTTCAGGACAACCGAGCAGCTACTCCCTTAACCATCTCAGATGATGATGTTCAGGACAACCGAGCAGCTACTCCCTTAACCATCTCAGATGATGATCTGGAGGACAACCGAACAGCTACTCCCTTAACCATCTCAGAAGACGATGTTCAGGACAACCGAGCAGCTACTCCCTTAACCATCTCAGAAGACGATGTTCAGGACAACCGAGCAGCTACTCCCTTAACCATCTCAGAGGACGATCTTGAGGACAACCGAACAGCTACTCCCTTAACCATCTCAGAGGACGATCTGGAGGACAACCGAGCAGCTACTCCCTTAACCATCTCAGAGGACGATCTGGAGGACAACCGAACAGCTACTCCCTTAACCATCTCAGATGATGATGTTCAGGACAACCGAGCAGCTACTCCCTTAACCATCTCAGATGATGATGTTCAGGACAACCGAGCAGCTACTCCCTTAACCATCTCAGATGATGATCTGGAGGACAACCGAACAGCTACTCCCTTAACCATCTCAGAAGACGATGTTCAGGACAACCGAGCAGCTACTCCCTTAACCATCTCAGAAGACGATGTTCAGGACAACCGAGCAGCTACTCCCTTAACCATCTCAGAGGACGATCTTGAGGACAACCGAGCAGCTACTCCCTTAACCATCTCAGAGGACGATCTTGAGGACAACCGAACAGCTACTCCCTTAACCATCTCAGAGGACGATCTTGAGGACAACCGAGCAGCTACTCCCACTTCCGATGAATATGTGGAGCACAACAGAGCTGCTACTCCCTCTGCTAACATGGCTAGCCCCATAGTGTCTGCTGATCTGCGCAGAGGTGGGTATCTGGTTATGTTGCATTTATTCAAGTGACTCAATGTTATTTGCTGTTGTGATGTTCGTTGCTCTAGAGAAGTATTGATAGTGTGATGGACACACACACATTGTCGGAAGAAAAAGTAAGTACACCGTACACCACAACATTTCAAACATTTCTGCCTTTATTGGTCATCAAATGTGATCTTTAGTTCATTCATTAATTTTTTACCCCTTTATTAGTCCATTTCTGAGTCGGGGGGGAATCAGCCGCCATCCAATGCTCATTGCACCAATCCCTCGCTGATCCTACGGCGGGTGGTGGGTGCACGGGAAAAGAGCCGCTGCTCCATCAGCGGTGACACAGCCTTGTTCTTTCTTTTTCTTTAAATGTAATATGTAAGGAATTATTAAGTACACTGCCTGAATCTCACTGGACTGCAGCAGTTTTGTAAAGAGGAATGGTCCAAGATTCATCCTCAAGGTTGTGAGCATCTAATCAACATAAACAGATAAGTTATTGATGCAAAATAAGGATCAGACGGATGTTTAATACAAGGAATCACTTTCTAATTCCACGTTGTTGTGAATGTCTCTGGTCTTTCTGCATAATATCCTTGAAAAAAAATTCTGTTGAAGGCACGTTGTGTAGGCCCTGAGGCAACAAACAGCCTGACACCATGATTCTCCTGCTCCTGACTTCACAGAGGGTATAGGTTTTTGATATTGGTGCGCTGTTGTATTTTTCCTCCACACATTTCGTTGGGTGTTCCTCACAAACTGCTCAACTTTGGTTTACAAAAGAGCTCTTGAATGTTCCACAGCACTACTGGCAAAATAAACTGTGGACTGATGAACACAAACTGGTAAAACTTTATTGTATACTACCCAGATAGATTGTACTACATTTAGTTTTGTACATTGTAATCTTTTTTGTAAAAACGTCTAAAGGGGCGTTCACACCGGACTTAACTTCGGCGTCAAAAGCGTCAGGTTTCCATTGAAAGTGAATGGTGAAGCGCGTCAGGTGAAGCCGAGAGCCCCGGCGTCACTTGACGCGCGTCAAAAGCTTCAAGAGTCGCGCGTACTACGCGCTCACTTGAAGCTTTTGACGCGCGAAACGCTCGCGTATCAGAACAATCCCTCTGACGCCGAAGCTGAGCAAAGCTGAGCTTTTGAAGCTTTGACGCGGGCTTCAACCAATCAGGAGACGAGGAGCAGCAGCAGCAGAGGGGCTGTCTCTGTCATGAAGAGAAGTCATGTATCTGCTGCTGCTGTTTTATTGTCATTATTGTTATTAGTAATATTATTTTTATGAGTAGTAACATTCTGAGTAACAAAAATCATTGTATACATGCTGTGTAGTAAACGTAGTTTATTTAAAATAAGAACAGGCTGACGATGAGTCTGGCTCAGAGCAAGGCAGCTCCGGGCGGGCGAGAGCCGGGGAGAGGCAGGGAGAGGCAGGGAGAGGCGAGCGAGAGCCGGGGAGAGGCGAGCTCCGGGGTTTGAGAACTCAGACTGGGCGAGTGACATGCGGAAGTACCGCTGAAAGCGAAACTCCTCCGTACGCAGCTCCTGGAGTAAATGACGGAACTCTGCAAACACTGCAGCCTCTCAAGTCTGTGGTGAACCCAGAACATGTTTTGTTGAAGCCCTACAACAACGTTATTTTGCTTTATATAACAAATAAAGGCTCGCTGCTCATTGAAAAATCCACCGCTGTCCTGACTACAGACAACAGAGAAGCTCCTCCCACAGACAACAGAGAAGCTCCTCCCACAGACAACAGAGAAGCTCCTCCCACAGACAACAGAGAAGCTCCTCCCACAGACAACAGAGAAGCTCCTCCCACAGACAACAGAGAAGCTCCTCCCACAGACAACAGAGAAGCTCCTCCCACAGACAACAGAGAAGCTCCTCCCACAGACAACAGAGAAGCTCCTCCCACAGACAACAGAGAAGCTCCTCCCACAGGCAACAGAGAAGCTCCTCCCACCGGCGTCAGGCGCGTCACTCGCGTCAAAAGCTTCAAGCACCAAAATGACAAAACTATCCCGGCGTCAGTTGAAGCGCGTCAAAAGCTTTTTGAAGCTTTTGGTCTGAACGCGCCTTAATAACTTGTGTCTTTTCAGTGCAGTATAAACAATAGAATCATGTGTGTTAGTACTTTGGGGGTAAATAATGTAATAAGACCCTTAGGGTTAGGGTTAGAGTTTGCGTCTTGTCTTACATTGTAATTAATGTGGCAGGTACAATGTATCAAGGGTACTGTAAAATATAGTATTTATTTTTTTGGAGAGGAACACAAACATTATGTGTGGAGGAAATGTGGAACAGCACACCAACATCAAAACCCTATCCTCGTGAAATATGGTGCAGGGAGCATCATGGTGTGGAGCTGTTTTATTTATTCAGGGCCTGGTGAACAATACATAAAATGTCAAAGATATTTGCTGAAAGACTTGAGAGATTCACAACAACGTGTGTAGAGTCAAGACAAAAAAAAAAGTATGTCTAGTGACTCAGCAGAACAGGGCATGACGCTCCACATAAAAAAGAAGAAATGTCCACAAACAGATTCTTTAAGAATAATAATTATATTACTTTTACAAATAAAAATTGTACTGAAAATTGTACCAAAAACTCAGGATGGGCCAGATAAATCAAAATGAAAAGCAAGTATGAGAGAGAGTGAGGTCAAATACTGTCTCCCTGCTGGAGCCACACCTCCAGGTGATACTGCACACATGTAGCCCTTCCCCACTGCGTCCACTAGATGGAGACAAAAGCGTCCATCTGGGCTGTGCAAATTAACTATTCTATATTTTGGCTCCTACAACATGGAATAAGTGATCATTTGTATTAAATAGCTGGCTGACCCTTCTTTTGCAGTAATAATTACTTACTTATTATCATTAATATTACACCCCGCCAGTAATCATATACCTGGAATGACAAATGAACAAGACTGGTAAATAAAAATAATAATAATAATAATGCATCGGTTTTACATAACACCTTTTTGGACACTCAAAGATGCTTCACTTGTTACTCATTCATTCCATACACGGGGGTGATAAACTACTGTGGGCACCGCTGCCCTGGGGCACACAGGCAGAAGCGAGACAACCAGTCTGTGCCATCGGCCCCTCCGACCACCACCAACCATTCACACACACACCCGACTCATTCTAGGCAATGGGGGAGAAGTGTCTTGCATAAAGACACAACGGCAGTTTGGCACTTTACAGCTGCAGCCGCCCCACTGTGGCTGGTTTTACCAGAGGTTAAGTGTCTTGCCAAGGATACAACAGCAGCAGACATCAGTGGGAGTCAGTGGAGAAAGTCTTGTGGTGGGCTCGAACCCACAACTTTCAGGCCCAAATGCTGTACCCACTGAGCCACTGTCGCCCCATTTTTAGAAATGGTCTGGCATTGTCTTCTGACCCTAAACACAACACACCAGACCAGATACAAGAGTATTATTACAAAGTATGAACTTTACATTGAATCTATGGAGTTATGGCCGTTCCCCTGACAAGCTAACTGACAAAGGAGTTTCAAAATCTAATCTAGAATAAATGTTAATATAAATTAAAATAATCCTTGAAACACAGATTTACAGATACTACATACACTACTGCAGCTTCTATATTAAGCTCGTGCCCGACACGAAATTAACACCTTTTTAAAAGTGAAGTGCAGGATTTTAGAGGCAGCTGTGGTGAACAGGTCTGGGCTTATTCCACACATTACGACATGGCTGAAACATGTAGGGGGATTAAAATTCTTAGTTTTTATAATTTTTAATTCTGTGTAGTTCCTTTTTAACAGAGGACATAAATGGACCTGAAACAACTAATGGCTAAAGCGAAAACTACTCGATTATTGAAATAGCTGTTTCTGTAATCAATCATTCTCTGCTAAATGCAGACAGTAGCTCAGTTGGTAGAGCATTGGCCTTTGGGCCTGAAGGTCATGGGTTGGAGCCCACCAAAAGACCTACTTCATGACCCCCACTGATGTCTGCTGTCGCTGTGTCCTTGGCCAAGACACCCAACAACCCAACTTTGCCTGAAGCCCCCGCTGAAAAATCAAGGCACACCACCTGCAGGAAGATCAGTGAGGGGCTGGTGCTGTGTGGACTGGGTGTAGCTCTGACTGCCACACTCCTGACCCAGAAATGGAATAAGGGGAAGACAATGGATGGATGGAGTCCAAAAGAGCTAAAATTACATTGCTTATTTTTGATGGAAACCTTCTTTGTTTTTCAAGTTTGGCTATGTAGTAATTTGTACAATGAAAATGTAAAAAATATTTGTCATCCAATTCAAAACAGGGGTGCAACAAACTGTTATTTTGGCACTCGATTAATCTACCCATTATTTTTCATGATGAATCAATTAATTGCTTGGCTGTGAGTGTTTTTGGAGGCTCAGTACAAATTGTGCTTTGATTGGATGAGGCTGTATGTTTTCGGTAAATTGAAAATGACATAAAGATCTGTCTTGTTAATGACTTTTTTTCTCCATTTGAGTCTGTGTTTACTTTAGTTTACTAAAATATTCTTCAAATATTTAATTAATCAATTTGTTGTCGATTGATCAAGGAGTTGTTTCAGCCCTAATCATAAAGCAGAATTGCCAGAAGAGCCTCCAAAAACACTTTAAGTTTACTCCAGCAAGTCCTCAAGCGGTGCCACAGTAGCTTTATGTGATTTCAAAAAATGAAAAAAAAAAAATTCTTCAAAAACCATTTACAGCCAAGCGATTAATAGATTAATTCTGAAAATATTGGAAGATTAATGGCTAGTGAAAATATGACAATTTGAGTTAAGCAGACACTGAATAATCATTCCTGTTATTTAGAAGATCAATCAATTTAGCGACCAATTTAGGAAGAAATTTGAGATATTCCAAACGGTGTACTTTTTCTTCCCACTGTACATGTTCAACCGTTATTTAATTTTTAACAAACCTATATAAAAGTTATATGCATTGAATTAAAAACATTTTTTTTGTTATGTTTACACAGCTACCTCTGACGAAGATGTGGAGGACCATACAGTTGCAAAATCTCGCAAATGTATTGCTGGCCCAAAAG